AAACTTTCATTTCTGTCAAGGAATGGCCTTCTGTTAACGAAAATGTAACGCCTGAAACGCAAAGCTGTTGAAGTCGCGAGAAGGCTGTAAAAAGTACTGAAAAATGCGTGATTGTGTTCCATTGGCACGCTTGCTGCTTGTTGCGTGATTCAGTCGCGTCGCGCAGACGTACTCCCACCCTGACCGACGGTTCAGTCAAGTCGAACCGCACAGTGTTATAGTCGCTGCTGCGCTATTTCACACGCGCTTACGGTAGGAGGCGGAAATCGGCTTTTAGGTCGGATGGAAGACGTGGGCGTCCTTAAAGCCAGTACATAGAGTACAGCGGTCGTGGTTTATTGCAGCTTTCCGGTCCACCGCGTGAACAACTCGGCCGACAACTTCCCATTGACCTCGCTCCCTTTTACCATGGCCTCGAAAATATAATGGTATGCATGAAATTATCCATCGAAAGGCGTATGGCCGGTGCATAATTGTCTGCTATCAGGCTCTCCGGGCTTGCAAATATGTGATCAAGGCAAATCGGACACCGCAAGGCGATGCTTCGTAATACTCATGCTTGTTTTGAGAGATAAACAGATTAGCGATGCACAGTGGCATATAGGTATATATGCTTACGCGGAGATAAGCGACGGCGAATTTCAGCGGATACCATATCGTTTGGGCGGTGGAGTAGCGGCAGGAGGTTGGTTTGAGCTGCGAAGAAACTGGGTTCGAATCCGTACGACGGAAGAATTTATCTTCACCGCTAATCCCCGTGAACAAGGAATTCGCCCTACGTTGCTTCGGTGCTACCAACCGAGAAACCGATAGCAAGTCGTTGACTTACGAACAACCTAGACGGCATGGTTGTGCGATACGGTCATACAAAAGTGTAAAAAAGTGTACGATCATGCCATCTGCCACGAGCGCTGTATAGTGGAGATTCGCTTTGACCCATCTGACAGTTGACTGCATAGTGTGATAATTAGCACGATGTGTACACGCAGTCAACCGTTTAAGGCTTTTAGGTTGTATACACAGTGAACGAAGGAACTTAGAGTTAAAATCGTTGTATGCTGTGCACCAGTCAAGAGAACCAAAGGAATGGGAATACTGTACCTGTAAATCTTTCGGTAAATGCCGATGCTGCTGCCGGCAAAGATCAGTGGTCACCGGTCACATGAGAATCTTGAACCCGCGACTACTGAGCAAATGGCAACATCGCAGCTTGTCTCCGAAAGCATTCGCCGCCGTTCGGTACATCGTCTAGTAGGCCGCTGGTCCAAACGATAAAATCTAACCTGCCTCAGGCGTGGTCGTGACCAGATTCACAACAAATGATTGAGTCATGGAGACAAGGAAACGTTTCATAACGGCTGAAACTAGATTTTCTCTGCTGGATGCGTTTTCCTTGTTACCGCCTGTGGCGTTGCTCGTTAATGTTGCGGTATATGCCGATGAAAATGACAAGTTCATGTAAACCTGGTTGACCACCTCCTCACTGACAGCTGCCGCATTCATGAACTGATGACCAACCGACGATGACCACAGCAACGTATATTCGTGTTCGCATTACGGGCCAGTGGCTGCAAGCCGCTTGGAAGCTGCACTGTTTAAATCACGTCAGTAAATGCAGTTTTGTTACTTACGGTATCTGCATAAAGGGAATATATAGCTGTGACTGTCAACCGACAGATCTGACAAATGTCTCAGCACCGCCATTGCTCTGCTCCCGGAGGCAAAACTCTAGATGGTGACGGTTCGGAAATACTAGGTTCATGCAACGTCCAACCACACATAGCATTACAAAATCTCCGTGGAATGACTTCTCCATGCTCAGAAACATTGTCTCGGAATTGCTAGCGCGCCCAAGGTCTATTTTCTGTGAAAGACGATTAATTAACAACTTTGCACAGACATAACGAGCTCTAAACTGCACACACTTTAATCGATGCAACATCGGCTCAATAAATGAACGTTGTGCTGAAGCTCGATATCCGAGCTTTAGACTGACATCAGCTGAATCATGACGAAACGGTGACGGTTTGCGTTATCAACACTTTTTCGGATGTTATTCGATGGTGTACAAAACGATGAAATATCCCATAGTAAGTTTACTGCGGCTGTGGCTGGTCTCGCCTGTGTTTTCTTGTCTGACGATAGCTTGTGCGAACTAGTGTTGTCATATTCGACGGTTTGAACCTCACGTGACCTAACGCGTTTTCAACTTCAGGCATCTGCTACAAGTCGCTGGTCGAAGCTATGGCCGAAGTGCCAGGAACATCGTCGTCGACACTGAACGTCACACCCGTACCTCACTTGGCGATCGCGGCTTGGTTGCACGGCATTAAACTCGACCAGTACGAATCGCTGCTGCGCAATTTTCACGAAGTCGAGGTAAATTCTTAACCGTTTCCAAGCACTCCGTACGTCAACGATTCTGCTTATGATGTATTTGTACATGTGCTATGTGCGCTTGTTGCTATACTGTTACGTTGTTATTGTCTGTTATAACTGCCATTCTAAAAATAGCTTCAGTTTGCGATGGACGCTGCATTCTCAGTTTTTCGTCATTAGGCTGTAAAGTAGTGGTTATTACGCTACCATTGATAATTCACCACCGAACGCCAATCAGAATCTGTTCTGTTTGTCCATGAGATGCGTCCTTGCCTCCTGGAAGGCGCTAGTGATATTTGTAACACTCTCATATGTAACTCGCGGGCTAGGAACAATTACAGGCCTTTCGCTTCTGCGGGTTCGCCCTTGAAGAATAAATATAATAAATCCTCTTTGGCTTCGTCAGTCAACCAGTATCGATGGCCGCTTTGCCTTTCAACTTGCGCAGGAAGATCCATCAAAGAGTGTCTCCAACGTTCCGATTCTGTGCCGGCATTTGAGCTTCGGTAGAAGATAACCTGAGTCTGACGCAGATTCCTTCTAGACACTTACCCTAGGTTTTCTTGGCCGTCTCGTACTCTTCGGGCGGTCGGTTGTGCAAATAGTAGCTGTTTTGTCATCCTTTCTGGAAGTACTCGCAGTACGTACCAAAACCGTGGAAGTCTGGCCATGCAGCACCTGTACAGCAAAGATATCTCGGCTATCTGTACTACTGACTATGCCAATATGTGTAATTCCAGCGACTCGTCCTCAGAAGGCCCACTAGAGTCTTTGATACCCTGCGTCGAAGTTTCTCAGTCATTGCACACGACTCATGACCGTAGTTAAATATGGGGATGAAGATCGACTTGATCTGAGAACTTGGTCTTCAGACTCAACTTTGCCTTAGTCACAGCGGTTCGAGCTGGTTCGCGCAGAGTGCCGCTGGCCATTCCAATTCACTAGTCAATCTGCTCCTCCTATTTTCCATCACCAGTGAACACGACCTAGGGTAGTGAATTTCTCCACTTCTCCACTGTTTCTCTGTTCATCTGTAGAGCGCAACGGGCAGAAAAACGAGAAAGCTCTAGACCTTGGGCTCTGCGCACATTTACACGTATGCCGGTCACGCAGCACTCAGCTCCGAACCTTTCCAGAGAGCGCTAGAGATCAGATTCCGAACATGCCAACAAAACTTGTAGTTTGTAGTCCGCAAACAGCATATTTCTTGTCTGAAACCTCTCCTACACTGCTACTCTCTTCGCCCTGGCTGCGTCCGACTATCTTTTCCATGTACCGTACAAACAGGAGGGAGAACAGAACGTACGTAGCCTTGGCGGTGAGCGGTTCCAGCGACGAAAAGTCTCGACTTAACGCCATTTACTCAGACGCAGTACCTCCTACCAATATACAGCGACTGGATAGCTCGTAGCAACTGGTCATCGATTGCATATGTTTGCAGGAGCGCTCTTGCTTCTTTCCTGGATCCACTGGCCTTCTCAAGGTCAACGAAACACATGTGAACCGAATGAAAATGAACTCGCCCTATTTCATAACAATCTGGTGTAGGGCGAAGATCTTTCAGACCTGTTTTGGCCGGTCCTGAAGCCACACTATACTTAAATCTCAGTTTCATCTATTCCGAGGTGTTTCCTTACCAAGATCGCTGCGTAAACCTTCTTTTCGAGTGGCTCCATAAAGTAATTTCCCGATAATTGGAGCACTCCCTATGGTTTCCGTTCTTGAAGTGAGGCACTACAGTCTTCGTCCTCTTGTTTAATGATGTCTTTCTCGTAGCCACTGCAGTTTAACAGACACGTGTTAGCCACATGCCTTGTTTACCTAAAGCTTTAAGAATTTCAGGGCGAATTTTATCGATTCCAGTAGCCTTGTTACCTTTTAAACTTATTACCATTTCTGTAATCTACTTAAAGACTAATATCAGTCGCCAGCTGCTGTTCAGGCAAGTCTCCCTGCTGTTGTTCGGGGGACGAAAAGTTCTTCAAATTATGCGATCGCCGAAGGATGTCCTCTTTTCTGGTATGAAGGCGTCTGGAGCTGTACTTCAGGGCTCTCAGACTGTCCTTTTTCCCATCTAGGTAGTGGCAACGGGTCTGCCAAGATAATTTGTTTACCGTCTGGAAATTCGATTCCAGCGCTTCACCGAGCTTCATCCAAGAATCAGCTTTCGCATTGGCCAGGCGTTTGCTGCCGCTTTACGCGCTTTCTTCTAGAGCATTGGAGTTTAAAGCTCTTTACTTCCAAACCACCTCTTGAGTGCAGCCTTCGTCTCGCTGACACACAGTTGAACATCTGTTGTGCACCAGGAAGTTCCTTTCTGATCTACAGATGGCACGTTGACCCGTTTTAAACTGCAGCATTCAGCGGAAGCCCCGAATAAGCCATTCTTAAAGAACGCCATTACGCGTCCATGTCAGCCGTCATCATTTTGTTCTGCTCAAACCATCTTAATACGTTTCTTGCAAGTTCTGGCATAGTATCCGCAGAAGATTGCAGAAGATGATGTTTCCCATTTGATTCAATCGTCGTTCTTGCCGCAAGGTCTTCGCCTAGTTTACAGCAGAGGGTGCCAACAAGGTTATAATGCGTTGATAGTTCAGTGCCTCTCTTGACACAAGCATCCATTAGACAGTGTCGTAAATCAGACAGTACGATTATCAAATCGATCATCGACTTCTGTGCACAATGTTCCCTGTAACAGGTGTACTGATACACTTTTCGATGCTCGAAGAAGGTGTTCATAATACACAGTCCGGTGTTTGCACAAAATCTTCAAACCTTCATGGCATCACTGCTGAGATGATCGCTAGGACCGTTCATTCTAGTTGAACCTGTCCATTTTGCAGTGTCTGTTCCGACATGCCCATTAAAATTGCCCATTAGAATGACGGATTTCGTAGTTGGCACATCAAACAGAGCTCTTTCTACATCCTCCAGGAAAGACTCGTATTCTCCCTCAAAATTGGATACATAGACCTGTAAGATGATTAAAGCTTTAGCCTGTTGTAGCGTCAGCCGACTGATTCCCGCTCTCTCGCTGACAGGCTAACTTACAAGGTTTCTGTCAGCTTGGTTGGGTTTTACTAGGACAACACTGGCCTGAACCCGTATCGTGATGTCGACACCTCAGAAAAATAGTTTTAAATATTTAATAGCCCATGGGTAAAGTTCCCCATAGAAGTTCATAATTCCAGTATCTTGGCACTTCATTGACGACAACACAACTATATCTAGTCGGAACCTGACGTCATCAACTAGTTTCTGTTCTTTCCCCCTGACTGATGAAATTTTCTGCTTTCTGACTGAGCTGCCAGTATGCTGTGAAACCTTATCTGGCTTGCTAAAACGACATTGCGCTGTCTGACTCCTTCATTCAGAAGTGAACGAGTCCTCGGCTACATTGCTGATTGGCATCTTCGTTGTCTTCTTCCGGATCTTCGACAGCCATCGACGTGCTGCTACGCGCCCAGCTGCCAAAAGGTGCTGATCGCCGACTTTCCGCAGTTTACCTCAGTTCTCCAACAGCCTGTGCCGTTGGTAACCCGTTCGACGACCGAGCTGGTATGGCGTTCGATAACGCTAGTAACAGGAGGAGCAGGTGGCACAGTTTTACGGGAGACCTCGCCACAGTCCCAAACTCTCCTCCTTTTGTATCCGAGCTTGGGACCTTTAACGGCAGAGTTCTGTGTCGTACGACGTGTCTGATAATTTGCGGTGTTTGCCAACGGCATTACGATTACGGAAAGACTCAAAATACGACCTACGACTAGCGCTTATTAGCAAGCAAGGCTTGGAGTCTTTTGTCTGCGGAAGTAATCGAATCGCCTGTGAATCAGACTAACTCGAACACTCGGTAAACAGAGAAGTTCAAAAGCCGGGAGATGACAGATTTTTTTCGCACTACTTGCCTCCAGTTGCAGCCTTCAAGCAAATGTCTGACGGATTGAACAGGATGTTATAATGGTAAGAAAGCATAGTTCGGAAGTGAAATGACCTTGAATACTGATGATTCTCAAAATTCGTGTTTACCAGACCCGCTAAGCAGTTGCAGCGAAGGACATAACATGTTAAGTTGCCCTTCACTGCAAAAGGTTGATTTAGATAGTTGCTTGAAGAGGCGACTACATTATAAATCCGCTAAGTATGCAGGTTACTGATGATGATTTTCCAGCACTTAAGTAAAAACAATGCATCGACACGATATCAGATTCAGTACTCGCTATATTTCTATATGACATCACTGTCTAGACATTGGTGACGGATATTACAAATGCATTTTACTTCATTCAGAAACAAAACAATGAACAGTTTTTCGACTTTTACTTTGTGTTTATGAGAAACAAGTTTCTCCATGAATTTTCTCCATGAACCTGAAAAAATCGACAGCTAGATATTACGTGACGATTATCAGTTGAACATGTTCAAGGTTTAGCACAATTTTGAAAATCTGTTGGGAAATTGGCTTCTATAAGAATCAGTATCTTGCAAATTCAGTATCTTTCTGAAACGACTTTGGTTGAATTTTTCCAAAATTATTGTTTCATGTTCATATTAGCGTATTTCCCTATTTTACTGTTGCGATGTTCCTTTATTTATTTATTTACATAAATAAGAGAATCAATCTGTAGCTAACTTATACGTTCACTGCTGGAAAATGGAAGCAGAAAGCTGCGGAAGCGCTGCTTGTGGGGGGGGGGTGGCTGTCAGAAGATGAAACTCTGGATCATCAAACGTTTTCTAGGCTGTTTTGTACGAGACTTTTGCCTTTAATATGTGTTGTCAAGGGAGGTATAATTGTTTGCGCTGCCAGTGGACGCCGTTTCAAAAGAATACGCTATTTTCTACTGGTCAGAAATGGTCGAAATTAATTTGTTTTCTGTTTAATGAAACATGATTTTAAAATATATTCGTAAGCGGAAGTATCTCGACTAGCGCATAACTCCTCTAAGACCAGATTTAGCGGCACATTGCACCGCCTTCTTGCTCCTAGTTGCCTGGGC